TTATAATAGTCTGGATTATTATTTTCAAAGCTCAGGTCTAAACCTGTCCATGCTGTGGTCGCATCTCAAATAAAATACAGCTCTTTCCCCTCTCTCCCTCCCTCCCTCCCCCTCTCTCTTTCTTGCTGGCCCCAGGTTCACTTCAACGAAGGCAAGACCATTTACATGAAGCTGGACGTGATGCTGGACGACCAGCTGGCTTTACGGTGTTTGGAAGAGTTTTCTCCGACCAGCTCCGGACCTCAGGAGCCCGAACTGAAGGTCTGCCAGGTCTCTGGGCTTGTTCTCCTCGCGCCGGGGGAGTCCATCCGGCTGCGGACCATCCCGAAGGTTCGACTGAAAGCCGACCGCTACCTCACTTACTTTGGCCTCTTCCAAGTCCACTGAGATCGACGGGGGAGGGGGGCCAGCAGGAGGTGTGGGGCACCCGGCTTTGGGGGAAGCTCACCGGGGGTCTGGAGGGTGAGAAGGAGGGATTCGGAGCTGGGACTCCCAGGATTCAACCCTTCGGAGTTCTCGGCTTCTGGCCTCACCTTCGTCAGGTCAACGTTTCCCTTAGTCTGTGAGCTCCATTTCCACCTTTCGCTCCTGCTAATGACTCCGAAGTCCATGTTTACGTTGACGTGAGCAGGAGGGCTGCAGGAACGCTTGCCCGTATCCTGACTCCAGTGGGGCTCAGCCTTCCCCATGGGGTTCCCATTGCGAACTGCCGGACTCGGCGCGCAGGAGCTATAAACCAAAACAAACAGAAAGGGACTGAGTCACTGCTTCCGACACGAGACTCTTTGTGTCGGCTCCATGGCTGGCGAACCCGTTTCCTGCCTGGATCCTGTTTTCTTCCTACACCTTTGCCTCTGCCAACGGCTGTGCCCCCTTAGCCCGCTTGGCCGCCGGACCCTGCGCCTTCTTCCGCTTCTCCACTCGGTTCGCTGGATGCTGCTGAAGTCCTTTTTCTGAATGTCGACGGCCTGGAATCAGGGGGCCACGATAAAACGGAGGCATATCTGGATATTGAGACGGCGCTGCCAGGCGCTGCTGGCAGGAGGCAAGAAAACACCGAAGGAGGAGAAGAAGTGGGCTGTTTTTTGAGGGGGGGATCAGTATCGCTCCCAGGGTGGGGGGCCACGAGCCAAGACGATGTGAATGAGCTTCCTACGGGCTGTGGATGGCAGCAAAGGGGGGTCCGATGTCAGAACTCTTGACCGCCAGCCCCGAGAAGGCCATTGCCAGTGGCCGTGTGTGTCGGGACGGCTGGAAAATGTGGTTTGGGATATTTTTTAAAAGAATAATTGGGCACCCATCCTGGGGCAGGTTGACGGACGTCTGTGGCATCCATTTGCCAAAATCCACCGCAAACCCCCTTCTTGTGAACCATGGTGCCTCTATCCATAAACTGTACATCAAATGGTAGGTTCTGGGTGGGGTGGTAACAAAGCCAATGACAACACACTCCCGGCTCTATCAGTGAACCTTTTGCAACGTTACTCAGCAAGGTATCAAAATAAATGTGAAATAATATAGCCCCCCATGTCCCTGGCTGGTCTGATTCCCTTCCTGCCTTCCAAAGTGGCTTTTAGTTTAGAAGCACCCTTATGTAGAATGACAAACCAGGATGTGCTGAAACTTTTTCAGGTACAGTGGTGCCTCGCTTAACGGGCACTCCGTTTAGCGATGGAACCGCATAGCGACGAAGATTTTGTGATCGCAAAAGCGATCGCATTGCAATGTTTTAAATGGGTTTTTTTCGCTGTGTGATGATTGGGTCCCTGGTTTGCTTACCGATCATCGCAAAGCGATGATTTTTTAACAGCTGTTCGGCGGTTCCAAAATGGCCACCGGGTAAAAAAAATGGCCACCCGCTGTGTTTAGGGACAGATTCCTCGCTTAAGAGGCAGCGAAAATGGCTGCCGTATGGAGGATCTTCACTTTAAGGTCAGTTTTTTGCCCATAGGAACGCATTAAACATGTTTTAATGCGTTTCTATGGGCTTTTTAAAATCGCATAGCGATGAAATCGCTTAGCAGCTATTATTGCTGCACGGGTTAACGTTGCTATGCGAGGCACCACTGTATAATGTTGTGGGAACAATATGGAAGACACCCTTAACTATAGAATCAGCATCTACTGATTTGTTTATCCACTGCCTGAAAATATTAAACAAACCCCCCAGAAATATGTGTTTATAGCTATTTCCAGAGTGTATTTGCCAGAACTGTCCACTAGAAGGCACCAGAGATGATGCAATGCATAGTGTTCCATACTTCCGCATTTTTCAGCATCCACGGGGCGGGTGGGTGAATGGGAACAGGCTTGGAACCGTTTCCCCGCGGATACCGCAGTCCTGCTGTACTGCTGTTTCAGCCCGAAACGTTGTTGGCTGCATGTAGTTGTCTGGATCCCTTCGTGTCCAACCTTGCAGCCTAAATTTTGGGGCCTGCTGACTTTGCACACAGCTGCACCCCTTATACATGCAGAACGGCAGCCCCTGTATCTCTCTCTTGGTCAAGCGCCAGCGCTCCGAAGGTTCTGCGAAACTTCCTCAGTCTTTTGTTACACCCCAGACATTTGGCACTTCCCTTGTTACACTGCTGGGGCTTTCCACCTTGCGGTCTGGAGAGCTGTGAACTCATCCTAATGAGCTTAATGACTTGACTTGCCAGGGCAGGCAACTTTTTGCCCTGCCAAAGGCTGACCGAGAAGCGGAGTTGCATCTGTGGAAAACAGGGGTCGGGGGCTACTTCCAGAGGGAGATTTCCTGAGCTGAGAAACCAAAGAGGGAGGGGAGCAGATCTTCTGTGTTTCCCTCTTTTAACAGATTTGCTGTGGAAGAAAGGATGGGAAAACACGGGTAGGTTTCAAATGCGTACTAGCCAGAATCCTGTTGCGTAGCTCTGCCTGCACAAGAGTGCTGTCACTAGCAGTGAAAGGTTTTGTTTTCCAGTTGCAGGGGATGTGCGGCTTGTATCGTGAGTTGTATATGCCCCAGAATGAAAATGGATCTCTGTAGTTACCCACTATCTCCTGCTAACATGGACATCACTCTGGCTGGCAGGCAGAGCTACGCAACAGGATACTGGCCAATAGCCTCTGAGGCTCTATCCCCTTTTGCAAATGGGGCAGAATGTAGAAAAGTTTAGCTGGCCAGTCTCCCCTGCCGGGCTGACCAAACCAGTATCTGTTTGTTTTTCAAACTTCACTACCTTTTCCAAAATCTCCCAGCTGCATTGCCACATTGGATGCCAGGAGCCCAAGATGACATTTTCAAGCTCTGGAATGAGGCAGGGCTATGGCACAATACATCTGGACACACCTTTTTCACATAACTGTGTAGGAGATCTGGTGAATGAAACACATCAGGCATAGCCTCTTTGTGGGATGTCCTTAGAATCCTAGAATCATCAAGCTGAAAGGGGCCCCTGAGGTCATCCAGTCCAACCCCTCCTGCTCAAGGCAGGAATCCAGATCAAAGCAGATCGGACAGAGGGGTGTCCAGTTTTCTAGTGAAGGCCTCCACCTCCTGAGGTCGTGGGTTCTATTGTCATACCGCTCTTACAGTTAGGAAGTTTTTCCTGTGATCACTGACCTAAAACATGATTTTCAAGAGTCGATGAAGGCTTGCTGGGAGAAATTATGTCCTTAGTATCACAAGTTTCTGAATTTTGTTGGGACTGATGAAGAACCTCAATGGCTTCAGAAGGGAAGAGGCTGCGGTTGAGTGGTAGAATGTACAGTTTGCATTCAGAAGGTCCTAGATTCAGTGCATGGCATCTCCGGATAGAATTGGAAGCATCTGCACCTGGTTTTAGCAATGAGTATTGCCAAGATTAGGCTAATGGACCAACAGCCCGATGCAGTATTAGACCCTGCCTAGAATAATCAAAGGCTTAGCTACAGCTTGTAGACTATGGAGCCAAGATGCTTAAAACATCACCTGCATATAAAGGGGACCATACAGGTGTGTATATCTATGGGATGTTTAGTTTTTAAAACCCATTAATTCAAAATTTAATTTCTCAATGTTTCTTGTGTGTCCAAAGACTGCAGTACCACCTTCATTCACTAGATGGCTGCCTTTCCTAACTAGCACATAGGCTTCAGTCAATACAGTTGGAAGTCATGAGGGCCGTCAGAGATACAGATTTACAGGTCTTAGGGTAAGGAAGAAATTAATGAAAAAAATGTATTTTAACCAACCTATGAAAAATTTCAAAATTTGGGGTATTTCAACTGAGCATGACATTTAAAAGTTTATTCTTCCCTTTCGTCATCTTTCCTTCCTACCCCGCCTCCAAGTTTAAGAACTAATAAAACAAATAAAAAGCAACAACAGAAAACAGTTGATAAAAGTATTTTATCAGTTCTAATTTCTCAAAAGGGATAGGGGAAAGAGGTTATCAAATTGCAGTTTGAGTTGTTGAGAAAATCCAACAAATTAAAAGTGGCTATCCAATTTCAATAAAATTCCAAGGGAGTCATTTTCCTGTAGAGCAGAACCAAGGGCTTTTAAAAATGGGATTGCCTCTGACACAAACTTGGAGCATCAGATGCCGAGATCCCAAGGAATTATGAAGGATATAACTGGATAATGAAGCTAGGCTAAGAACGTTTTTCAGATGGAGCTGATCTGCCATGAAGTTTCCTCTCTCTGAAGAAACACGTTTCGACAAGATAGATAGAAATGCTGAAGAGGAACGGCATGAACCAGTTGTACCCCACGAGATGGCCAGAAATAATAATCATGGAACGGCATGCCAGCGTTATCAATTTTTTCATCAGTGCACCGTCCAAGAAATATCGTCTCCAAATCTCATGAGGTACTCGTTCTCCACCATTCAGCCCTGGCTAGGACTCATCTGGCGTTCTGTGTCCAGTTCTGGACGCCGCACTTCGAGAAGGATGTCAGCAAACTGGAGCAAGTTCAGAGAAGAACAACGAGGGGACTGGAAACCACGCCGTAGGAGGAAAGAAATGGGCCTGTTTAGCCTTGAGGAACGAAGACTGAGGGGAGATCCGATAGCACTCTTCAAAGACTTGAAAGGCTGTCCTACAGAAGAGGAGCAGGATCTGTTCTCCATCATCCCAGAGCGCAGGACATGCAACCATGGGCTCAAGCTACGGGAAGTCAGATGTTGGCTGAATATCAGGATAAAACTTCTTAACTGTTAGAGCAGTATGACAATGGAACCCAGGATCTCAGGAGGTGGTGAACACTTCCAATGCTGGAGACCTTCAAGAGAAAACTTGGACAACCCTCCGTCTGATCTGCTTTGACTTGGATTCTTGCCTTGAGCTGGGGGTTGGACTTGATGGCCTTGTAAGGCCCCACTTCCAACTCCATGGTTTTGTGATTCTATGATCCAGAGGAGAGAATCTTTACAGATGTTGCAAACCGCCTGATTCTGCCTCTATGCAACATGTCCATTTAGCTGCAACTTGGATACTCCAGCATGTCGTGGAAAATGGCATTGGAGGCTGCACTGAATTCCAGAATGACAAAGTGGGAGACTGCAACAACAACAACAACAACAACAACAACAACAACAACAACAACAACAACAACAACAACAAACACCGTAGCCCCAGCCAGTAAATGAAGCAGCCCCTCTCGTTTTAACTGTTCCATCATCTGTTGAGCCTGCTGAGAAAACACAAACCAAATGTCTTAAGAAGCATCTCAAGCCCTGGGGGGGGGGTGTGTGGAAATGTGGGGAGGCCACAGGCCGCAAACAATCTAAAATTCGCTCTTTTGCTGACCTACATTTTATTGCAAAACGACAGCTTCACAAGAAAACCAGCTAAACATGCTCTGTTATGAAAACAAGAGGGGGAAGTCTTGGTCTGGCTTCTGCATTCCCCAGCACAGCTCGGCTTCCAACATGTTCATTTTATGTCAACAGTTGGGTGGGCAGAAGGGAGCTCTCCCCCCTCCCATGGCTGAACCTGTGTTTGAAAGTATATAGGAATATTGTGCTTGCATTTGTGATTCGAAGCTTGCCTTCCTGTTGTTGTTAAAGTGCCATCGACATCACCTCCGATGGATGGTGTGACCCTATGAATGAGGGACCTCCAAAATGTTCTGTTCTCAACGGCCTTGCTCAGCTCTTGTCAACTCAAAAGTCATGGCTTTCCTTGAGGGAGTCCGTCCATCTCATACTGGGTCTTTCCTCTTTTCCTGCTAGCTTTCCCAGCATTCTTGTCTTTTCCAGAGAATCCAGCCTTCTCAGGATGTTTCCCAAAGTAGAACAGCCTGAGTTTTCAACCTTCATTCCGTAGAACGGCCTTTCCGGACTTTGAAAATGAGTGACCGCTGGATAAAACGTCCGAGAGGTGATGGAGAGACGTTTCACTGAGAAGTGTACCTTCCTCTTGGCAAACCTCAAGAGCCGAGTCAGTTCTCCGTGTCCAGAATCCTACCGCTAATTTACACTTGGCGTAAGGAAAGGTGGGTAAATCCTGGCAGAAAAATGTCGCTCCTTTACGAGGCGATGGCCACAAATCTGTGCATTCAGGAACACAACCAGCTCCTTATCAAGGAGCAGCCGTTGGCCACCAAGACTCGTGAGATTTCCTTACGCAAGTGTAAATTGGTAGTCAGGATCTGCCTGGCAGCTCTGAGGAAGATTGAATTCGGTCAGTAACATGTTGGGGTCTTCAGAATAATTTTTGAAAACCCAAATTTGTTTTGTGAAGGACATTTTTAGCCCTTTTTGTTTGGTTGTGTTTTTTTTACATTTTTTTGGTCTCTTCTTCAGCAGCTACTGTTTCTGTGTTGTTGTTGTTGTTGTTGTTGTCTTTTTGACCCTACCTTGAACGTCCCCTTTCTTGCCACAAAGGCTGAGAAATACTTCTTCAGAATCTTAGAGAACAGGCCAGAACCATCCGTCTGGACGTAAAACAGAGCAGAATATTGTGTTATACCAACATCACAGCCCCATACAGAGTGCAGGACAGCTTGGGGGGGGACACCTTTCTTTTGGTACAAAAACCAAACACCCTCCCTCGGTGGGTGACGTTTATGAAGTAATTTACACCATTGCTCGCTTGTGATCCAGCGATGTAGCAAATCTGCCGGACGCCGACTTGCAGGTCTCTTGACTCACAGTGTTTTGAATGTCATGGACCTATGTTGGGGTCACCTGTTACCCACAAATGTTTTGCCACTTCTTCCCGTTCCATTGTTGGTGGTTTGTGGCTTCCTAATGGGCAACGAGGGACGTGGGTGGCGCTGCGGGTTAAACCACGGAAGCCTCTGTGCTGCAAGGTTGGAAGACCAGCCGTCGTAAGATCGAATGAATCCACGCAACGGAGGGAGCTCCCGTCGCTTGTCCCGGCTCCTGCCAACCAAGCCGTTAGAAAACATGTAAAAATGTGAGTACAAAATAGGGACCACCTTGGTGGGAAGGTCACGGCGTTCCGTGTCTAGTTGTGCTGGCCACGTGACCACGGAAAACTGTCTATGGACCAACGCTGGCTCTACGGCTTGGAAACAGGGATCAGCACCGCGCCTTATAGTTGGACACGACTGGACTCAATGTCAAGGGGAACCTTTACCTTTACTTAATGGGCAACTAAGTGTCATCGAATGGCCGTCAATTGCAAAGGTCGGGAGCCACGGCCACAGAGGTTCTCTGCGCGCAAGGCGGTGCTGAGACCACTCAGAGGCTTTGCTCGACTAGCAACTTTTTCTTGCTCAGAAAGAGCTTTACGTCTCGCTGGGCAAAACCCCGTCACGGAAAGGGAGTATTTGCTTAACGTGTTAAGTGGCTAGTAAGTTTGTAGATGTTGCTCATATTACTGCATTGACAATGTTTCATGTTTCGGAGAGGTGGTTAGAGAATTTGACTGGGAGAGCTTTTCACTCCCCTGTTTGCGAATGGCACAACGGTGATACGAATATTTCACCAACAAACAGCACCGCAAATTACTTTCCCAAAGACCGAGCAAAGTCCCGAGAAATGCAATCGCCTGCTTTTAGAATATAACTCTAGTTTTCAACACGCAGTCCTCACGACAACCCTGCGAGGCAGGCTGTGAAACAAGAAAAAAAAGGCAGGCCTGGGGACACCGATTCGATTGTTCGTCTCTTTAGTCACAGCTTGACGCTGTAGTGCAGAAGTAAAGGAACTGATGGCTTTCCAGATGTCGTTAAACTTAAGTCACCATCATCCTTGACCTTGCTGTTTAGGGCGGAGGGATGATGACATTCCAGCCACACTTGAAGGGTGACAGTGATTTCATTTTACCTTCGGGTCTGCCTAGCTGTCCTGCAGACCTAGGCAAAGTGCAGCCCGAGGGCCACATACGGCCCGCGAGCCGCTCCTGTCCGGCCCCGCGGACCGTTTTGAACATCAAAACCATTTATAGCTTTTTGTCTAAAGTTGATCTGTTGCTTATCTTTAACATACCGCAAAAAACCTCTTTAGTATTTGTGAAGATTAACAAGTTTAAAATAAAAACTATCATAACATCATTGTTTCATTTTATTTTAAAGTAAAGTTGGTTCAGCCCCCGAACACAGTTCAGATTTTTCATGTGGCGCCTCCCTATAGAAATTAATTGCCCACCCCTGCTGTCCTGGGACGTGTCTAAAATGGACAGAACTGGGATATGTGAGCGGCAGTTCGGCGCTCCCACTACAGCTCCCAGAATAACCTGCCGTAACAGGCAGCAAGAGATTTTTGGGAACTGGAGGCCTTTTCCGAGACGTTGGGCAGAACGTCTTCTGCCGGATTCCGTTAAAGGTCGTCCCACGTCAGCCGAAGGTGAGGAAAGAGTCACGAATCCTGACACCTCTTTCGGATTCCTGTTTGTTCCAAAACACATCTCTGCGCAGAGGTTACGGAAACGTGGAAGAGGCACGCGGGGTTTCCACAGGATACGTCCCTTTGCCCACCGGGGCCTCGGATCTGGGAAGCCACCACTTCCTCTCCTTCTGATCTAGGTGCGCAGAAGGCCCGGCCAAGCTGGCTCTTGGCTGCTCTCCATGGTGGGCGGGTAAAGCCCGTCCCGATGGGTGGTGTGTGTGTGTGTGTGTGTGTGTGTATGTGAACAGCTTCCTCAATGGATTGCGCAAGGACAATTCTCCCCCTCCCCACCGCTTTCCCTGGCAGTGGCCCAGTTACTGGGCGCCCAGCAACAAATAGGTACTTTTTAGGGCAAGGGAGCTTTCGGGAGAGTTGCGTTCCATCCTTTCGGTCTCAAGGAGCCAGGCGGATCGGGACTCCGGCGTCTTTTTCCCTGAGTGCCAAGAGGGGGGGCAGTGACTGGGTTGATCAGGGAGGTAGACGGAGGGACCTGATTCCTGGGGCGTTTTCTATCTTTCCTCTTTTGCCAGTGTGGAGGAAAGAGAGGTCTGCTCAGGTGACCTCTGGGGAGTGAGAAGGGAGAGGTGGGTGGGTGGGGGAACTCTCCGTGGGGCATCGCAGGGCATGCAGCTAGGGAAAGGGGGCTGCCAGGCAGGAAGAGGCTGGATACAGAAGCTGGATCTCCTGAGTTGTCCGGCCAAGGAGGAAGGAGGGAGGGCCCAGGACGCCCGGGTTCCTTCTCCATCCACGGGAAGCAGGAACCGGCTCAGTGGCGGCGAAGGTACCCATGCATTTGGGGCCAGCTGTTCCAGGCAGAAATTGCAAGGTGGGCAGAATAGAAGGCTCAGGACCCTCGGGACACCCGCAAGGCCACGGAGAGGAGGCATCGGTGGCGTCTTAAGCCCAGCGGCTTTTCCAGGTCCTATGGCTAAGTCCGGATCGAGGCCAGGGCTCGACCGAGAGCCTCCTTCACTCCTGGCGACCCTCTGGGTGGGGGCGTGTGCCCTGGGCGTGGGTCTCCTGGCCTGCCTGTTCACGCTGGCCAGCCTCCAGAGCCGCCTGGAAATGTTGCACGAGGAGCTGTCTCTGCTGCGGGGAGAGCTGAAGGTCGAGGCGGATGCCAGAGGCAAGCCCGAAGCACTGCAGGTAAGAGCCAGCGCACGTTGCCGGAGGGAGCTGCGGTGCCAGAGGGAAGGGCACCACTGGGGAGGGGGGGAATTGGGCAAGCGGCACGCACGTTGCCCACCTACCTCTGTCCAGGAGGGCCTGGGGGTGGTGTCCGGAAGACCGTGCGGGTTGCCCACCTACCTCTGTCCAGGAGGGCCGGAAGACCCTGCCAACGCCTTGCAGGGTAGAGTGGCCACATCTTCTCGATTACATTGGAAGATGCTCCACTCCTCTGTTGTTTTTTTATGGCATCCTCTCTCAGTGGGGCTCACCTCTGGCCGAAAAGCCAAGAAGCAGAAGGAGAAAGAGCTGGGCCTCGAAGCCACCCATCATCTCCTCTTGGGAAGACCCAGGGCGCAGGCATGAGCAGAGACCACCAGCCACCCACCTTCCAAACTTTGGACGGAATGGCTTGTTGTTCCACTCCAAGTCTTGACATCATTTCTCCCTTTCAGCTTTCTGGGGTTAATTTTATGCCCGTCCTCTCTCCTCTCCTTCAACAATGCAGATGTGGCCACCCTCACTGAGAGGAAGCCGTTTTGGCTTCCAAGGGAAATGGGTTCTGTGACTCCTCTGCCTCTCCCCCCCCACCCCAGTCAGCAGCATTTTGAGCACTTATGAGTTTGGCCATGGGATCCTGAGGACGTACAGAATGCATTTCCCACGGCATCCGCGTCCAGAGATCCAGAAGGAAGGGTGCATGACTCAATACCTTTCTCGCTTTGCAGAAGTGAACTCTGTGTGTGTGTGTGTGGGGGGGGAAGAACGCCTGTTTTTGCCTTCATTTCCAGCCCTAATCGCTTGTGTAGGATAAAATGTGTGTGTTCGTGTGTGTGTATGCATTTGTCTCCAGTTGCAATTTCACCCATTTGGGGGACTTACCAGAAACCCTTCGTTTTTTTTCTCTCTGAGCCTTCCTCCTCGTGGCTTCCCAGATGTCGAATTTGGTTTCTCTCCGCAAATCCCTCCCTTCTTCTCTCCGCTGGCCGCTCTCTCCAGAGCCCAGCTGGGCCCTGGTCCAGCCATTCTGGCCTGCCTGGGGTGGGCCCACAAGTCCATTTCCAGGAAACCGGTCCATTTTGAGAGGTTTGGGGGAAAAGGGTAAAGCCAGAGAAACCCATGCCTGGCCCCTGGGTTAAATCATGTGTAAAAACTGTGCAGGGGTGTGCGTATGTGTGTAGGGAGGAGAGGGGTGTGTGTGTGTGTGTGTTCACTCACAGCAACTTAATTCTGAGCCGGAACCTAGCATATGTGAAGCATATGAGAAAGCATGCATGCCTCTAAGCATGTGCAGAGCCCCCAGCTCTGTTTTCTTCCAGACAGAACTTGAATTTTAGGGTGGTCCCATGTCCAGAATCTCTGCCTGCCACGGGCTGAAGGCAGGCCACCTACCCTGCCCCGAGTCTGATGCAAATGAACTCTGTGTAGGCTCAAAGGCATATATTTGAGGACTGCACGTCTCTACAGCATCAGAATTTTATTTTGAGGCCGGTGGCTGATCCGGGCCCTGCACAGAGGAACCAGAAAGTCGCAGCTTCCAAGCCTTGAACCCCCATCGCCTGTAAATTCTCCCCTCGCAGGACCCAGGCATCATTCTTAGCACAAACCCAGCCTCCAGCTTCACGCATTCACATCTTCCTTATGGTGGTCTCCTCATCTTCCCTTTTGCACTTCCTGTTTGCTAATTGCTCTGCCCAAGAGGAATCCAGATGCAAATCAGGGGAGATCTATGCAAAGCAGAAGCAGCCTTGTGATTAAAACAAAACAAAACAAACCTCAAGGTGGGACACTTCCTCTTTCTGAAGCCAGGAAACCACTTCAAGGTGTGTTCGTCCCCGAAGAGGGTGGCTGCCAACTGTCCTCTCCTGGCCTGGCTGCTCTGCTTTTAACAAACAGAGGTTACCCTTGCACTCATTCAGCCCTTGCTGCATGCTCCAAAAAGCTGCACGGTCGACATTTTCTGTGCATCAGGATCCTGTGAAAAGCACAGGCACCGTGTCGATTAAAAAAAAAAAGACGAAGGGAGTCGGTGTGACCCTCCACGAATCAGCTGGCGATCTTGCATGCAAAGGTTTGAAAAGACGCAAGGTGTTTTCAAGGAAGGCCAGACCGGTCCCCTCCCGGCTCCCCTCCCAGCAGCAGAATATATCCCATTTACCTAGGGAAGACGTTTGCCATAAAGAGGCTGCTGAGGTAAGATCTCCTAATGGTGGGTGTTTCATCTGTGGCCATTGTTTTTAAAAGGTTTAAAACTGATTTCAATTCAACGCTTGTTGTCATAAGCTAAGGCATCCGTTTTCATATTATAATGACTTAGAGTCTGATTTCAGCTGGATGTGTTTTGAACTTGTTATATGTATTTAAGTGGGGTTAGAAATAGCTCAGTGGTTTAAGTTTCTGGCTGCAGAGCCGGAGGTCGGCCGTTTGATCCCCCCTGGGCCGCCTTGGCTGGGGCTAGACTTGATGATCTTACGGGGTCCCTTCCAGCTCTGCCATTCTGAGATTACATAAATCTGGAATCAAGGCCTATTGGGTTCTCCTTAACCAGATTTCTGTTGAATATCAGGAAAAAACTTCCTAACTGTTAGAGCAGTACGACCATGGAACTGTTGACCTCGGGGAGAGGTGGCGAGCCCTCCAACGCTGGAGGCCTTCAAGAGAAAACTGTCCAACCTGCTTGGATTTGGATTCTTGCCTTGAGCAAGTGGTTTGAGACTTGGTGGCCTTCGAGACCCCCTTCCAACTTGATTTTTTAAATGATTCAAACCCTTCCTAACATTTACTGCTCTTTACGGAGCAATTTTACTGCCCCCCAGGGAAATTTCGGTCCATCGGACCTTGATTGTACCTTCCCCGGGAACCCCGTTCGAATCCCAGATGGGAAACGTTTTCACTTTTAGCTCTTGCTGGGGACGATGGACATCCAGTGACTCTGGGCCATCACCTCTCACCTACAGGGCCAGGCAGGAACGTACAGGGAAATTACAGTTGCAAATTGTGCTTTTGCCGATTTTGGGGTGGGTGGGAGAGACCAGGAGCGGCCATGCACTGCGATTCGGGAACCAACCGACCGGGTAAGAATGGGAAGCTACCCTGCGCCCTTCTTTGTCTTAGCTGGTGTCATTTCTCTCCCCATTGCTTTCAGAGCCCCAGTGAGTTTGTGGTGCCCCCTCTTCTACACCCGAGACCTCCCATGTTCCTGGAAAGAAAGAGGCGGGATGCTGCGAAGACCTCACACAGGCAGGGCCGTCAACGGAGTGAGTAGACCGTCGCGAGGGCCTCCGGCCAAAGCAGGGCCTGGGAGAGTGACCATTTCAGGCTAGGAAATCTCACGCTCTCTAGGGGATGCTGGGCGTTGCCGTCTATGAGGGTGGTCTTTCTCAGTTCTGAAACACTACAAGGAGAAGGGTTGTGTGTGTGTGCACACACACCCGCACATCCCTGAGGGTATGTGTGTGGACTCCCTGAACTTGAGCACTGTATACCAGCAGAAGCCAAGGTTGAACGGGTGGGTACGTTTCCCAACAGTGGGGTCCGGACGCCCTCTAGGCGGGATGCAGTTGGCTTCAAATTTTTCTTCAACAATCACATTCCCAGGTACAGATACCCAGATATGGTAAGACCCCATTATCCGCAAATGCTCTTATCCACAGTCTGAAAAGATTAAAAGAAAAATCCCAGGAATATAAATTTTTAAAGAGGAAGTTACCAGAACTGGACACTAGAGGGAGGCAGAGACCATGCTATGGATCCTGTTGGTTGTTCAAACCAAGTTTGCTATAATAATATGACT